GTTCCATTCATCCACTACTCTGTTTCCAAACCAGTGTTTACCTATTTCACGCCTAAATCTAAATTTGTCTAATTTAAAACCATTGTTACGAGTTCGCTCCTGGTTGGATAATTTGAGTACCTTTGTAATGTCCCCTTTGTTTAGCCCTGCCTTCCACTTATACACCTCTATCAGGTCGCCCCTCGCTCTACGTCTCTCAAGGGAGTGCAAATTAAGATGCTTTAACCTGTCTCTATACTTAAGGTTCCTAATGGATCCCAGGGGTGCTTATCTCAGTGGTGGGTCACGGCTCTCATTGGTACTGTCTAGTGCTGAATTCACTGGCTTAAGCACTGTTCATCACTGTTCAACACTGATCCCACTTCTTTCCGAAACGAAAGTGTCACTGAGGTTGAGTCGGGGAGAGGGACTTCAGGAATGGGGCCGAACATGACGCAAGAAAATAAATTGATGATCGATCAACCAATCCTAGGATTAAAAAACGTGTGTGTGTGTGTGTGTGTGTGTGTGTGTGTGAAGGGGGCTGCATACTAAAGCGACCCTGGGGGTATGCACTTTAGGCATTACTTTTTTGATTTGGCAAAACAAATGAAAGAAAAAAGTGCAGAGGGCTGTAGATTACAATAACATTTCCTCAGAGCCGTTGATAGACTTTGGTCAACTTGGTGTTCGAGCCAGATTGGCTGAACCGGTCCCAAGAGATACAGGCGCCTTGTTATTCATCTGATGAAGTTTGTGTTCGTACTATGGAGGATGATGATGATGATGTTTATTCAGTAAAATTATCACACAGGTTTACAAGTGGATAAGTGTGTTTATAAATTATGCAGTATACTGTTCAGCATGAATGAATATAGTTAATGTACTGTTGGTACGGTATACGGTGCACGTAGGCTGTGGAAGTATACAGTACAGTTTCTTGTGTATCGAGATTTATTTCCAATTTGGAATCAACCATTACTTTCGTCTTTACTGCGATAATATTTAAACTATATATTTTATATATTTCCACCGATCTATTAACGAGGTTTTGTAATGCCTAATCACTATCTGTAATAAGATCAGTACATAAGAACATAAGAAAATAAGGAGTCTGCAATAGGCCGGCTGGCCTGTTCAAGGCAGCTCCTGTCGAGAGTTACTACCACTTTCTATCATCCATAAATCCATCTAGCCTCCTTTTAAAACTTTTCAGCGTTCCAGCACTTACTACAAAGTTGCTAAGCTTGTTCCACTCGTCTACCACCCTATTTATGAACCAGTTCCTTCCTATCTCCCTCCTAAACCTAAACTTATCAAACTTAAATCCGTTGCTACGAGTTCTATTCTGCTCGGATATTATAAGAACTTTATCTATATCTCCTGTATTGATTCCTTTCACCCACTTAAATACTTCTATCATATCTCCCCGCACTCTTCGTCTTTCTAGGGAATGCAAGTTTAGTTTCTTTAATCTATCTTGATATGGAAGGTCCCGGAATCATTTTCGTCATTCTTCGCTGCACCGACGCCAGTGAACTGATATCCATTCTATAATAAGGGCACCAAAACTGAAAAGCATAATCAGGTGCGGCCTGACCAGCGCATGATATAGTTGCAATATGACCTCTTCACTCTTATTACTCACTTCTAGATATAAAATCTAATACTCTGTTTGCTTTATTTCGAACATTAACACACTGTTTTCTAGGACGTAGGTCCGGGCTTACAAGAACCGCTAAGTCCCTTTCACAAGTCGACTTCTCTAGGTTGATGTTGCTAAGGCTGGATACATTGTCAGTATATGTTCTTCCAATATTAAGTACGCTGCACTTGCTGGTGTTGAATTTCATTTGCCATTTTCTGACCACTCCTGCAGTTTATTTAAATCCACCTGTAGTGCACTTGCATCCTGCCCTGAATTAATCTGCCGCCCTATTTTGTTGCCATCCGCAAACTTGCTTATGTCACTGCTGATCCCAGTATCTAGATCGTTTATGTAGTTTATGAACAAGAGTGGACCCTGTACTGACCCCTGGGGAACCACACTGCATTGCCTGTATTTGATATTACTTTACCATGAACTTTTAGTCCTTTATTATCACTTATAACTTCTCTCATTAAGAATTCTGAATATATATTTCACATTGTTGGATATAGAACACAGTCTTTTCTTACTCCCTGTCTTACTGTGAACCAATTAATAAGCTCATTTACTAACACTGCAGCCTCCAGTTGCCAGTAAAGATTATTTAATATTCTATTTTCTCCTTTATTAATGTCTATTTTTTGCCAAGATCTCTATAATTTAATTGTGCTTTACCTTATCTAAAGCGTCTCTTGTTCCTTTTCCTCTTATATTCTAAACTTTATTCTACTAAAAATTGTGTTGAATAAAACTTTGCAGGAACGACTTATTGATTCATATGGAGTGACCTCTGAATATAGTATACAGTATATAATTATAATTATAAATTTGTTGATAAAATGAGGACCCTCTCATTAATAGAGGTTTTTCTATATAATGTGATAAATCCGATCATTATGTGGGAGACAACCCCAGAATACTTCCCTCCCGCTGATTAATAACATAGCGCATGTGTTTTGGATGGTCAAACTCATCTCTATCTACGGCTCTGCATTCCCTCACCTGGTGGGGACGACCCGGTGCATGAACATGGTAGAGTAGAACTGAGATGATAATGTAGTGATGTAGTGACAAGTTTAGATGATAGGATACTTTATGCAGCGTAGATGATAGTGAGACTGAAGTAGATGCAGTTTAGATGATGACGTAGTTGATTTAGTGAAGATGATTGTGTAGGTGATGGTGTAATTACGAACTTAAGCTATGAGCTGCTCCTCAAAAACGCCAGGTTTCCCAGGTAATAATAATAATAATAATAATAATAATAATAATAATAATAATAATAATAATAATAATAATAATAATAATAATAATAATAATAATAATAATAATAATAATAATAATAATAATACAGTTATCAGTTTCGTAACCTGATAATAAACTAATAGAATCATTTTGTGCGGCATCACCGGTGTTTGGTGACACCACCTAGGCAAAGGAGGCGGCGGCGGCGACGGCAAGATGAAAACGGCAACGACGGCATTAAATGAAGACTTCTACTCTACATTATTATTCATTATAACTTCCTTGTTCCTGTTATGTTCACCAGAGTATTATATCTGGCCGTAGAAGAGACGCTAGATTAGTGATGCTCTGGTCCTCGGTAGCCGATCTACATAATGGGATCAGCAGTGACATAAGCAAGTTTGCGGATGACACCAAAATAGGGCGGCAGATTAATTCAGGGCAGAATGCAAATGCACTGCAGAAGGATTTAAATAAACTGCAAGAGTGGTCAGAAATGGCAAATGAAATTCAACACCAGCAAGTGCAGCGTACTTAATATTGGAAGAACATATACTGACAATGTATCCAGCCTTAGCAACATCAACCTAGAGAAGTCGACTTGTGAAAGGGACTTAGGGGTACTTGTAAGCCCGGACCTACGGCCTAGAAAACAGTGTGTTAATGTTCGAAATAAGGCAAAAAGAGTATTAGGTTTTATATCTAGAAGTGTAAGTAATAAGAGTGCGGAGGTCATATTACTAGTCAGGCCGCACCTCGATTATGCTGTTCAGTTCTGGTGCTCATATTATAGAATGGATATCAATTCACTGGAGTCGGTGCAGCGAAGAATGACGAAAATGATTCCATATCAAGATAGATTAAAGAAACTAAACTTGCATTCCCTAGAAAGACGAAGAATGCGGGGAGATATGATAGAAGTATTTAAGTGGGTGAAAGGAATCAATAAAGGAGATATAGATATAGTTCTTATATTATCTGAGCAGGATAGGACTCGTAGCAACGGATTTAAGTTGGATAAGTTTAGGTTTAGGAGGAAGATAGGAAGAAACTGGTTCACTAATAGGGTGGTAGACGAGTGGAACAAGCTTAGCAACTTTGTAGTAAGTGCTGGAACGCAGGAAAGTTTTAAAAGGAGGCTAGATTGATTCTTGGATGATAGAGAGTGGTAGTAACTCTCGACAGGAGCTGCCATGCACAGGCCAACCGGCGTATTATAGACTCCTTATTTTCTTATGTTCTTATGATCTTATAAAGTTTCTACGATCTGTTTACCCTGGCCAATCTTGCAGGTCCTTCGTTGCCTTCTTCTGCCCAGTTTATGTCCTGAGGTTGTAGATTCTTTTCATAATCTGAATATTGATGTGAATATTGTAGTAGGTTAATTGTCTCATTATGCACAACTTTTATTGTCTAAGAGTACTAACAACTGCCATTATAACATTAAGTTTATATTCTATTACTCTAACTCACTTTTTAAAATTTAATCATTTATAACGGTCATAACTGTCACCGCAAGTTTACGAATGATAGAGCTATTACAATGGTTTATCGTTAATTACTAGTCACATAAAACTACAACCATTTGTGTCAGGTGTATCTTTGACATGGCAGGTTAAACTAATTGATTTAAGTCACTCGAATACACTCACTCAGAAGCATATAGATGTATACATACTTGATCTACAGTAAATAAGTACACAAAACAAAGCGTCACACACACACACACACACACACACACTTATATACGTACACTTCTGTGACATAACTACATACGTGAAATAAACTGAAGATCATAAGACACTTTTTAAGTCAATCGTCTTTTAAGTAACATTACCAATTGTACTCAGAGGACATGACGCAAGAAAATAATTTGATGATCGATCAACCAATCCTAAGCTGAAAAAACGACGACTCAAGGCTTGCACACCCAAAATTTGCATACTAGATGAGCCTGATGATTACAGCTCTACTGCTCGCTCACATACAGATATTTATGGAAAAGTGACAGATGGATGGAGAGTGATGCGTGCATAAGTGACAGGCATCATCGCGCTGTTACATTGTTAAAACCTCGTCAGAAGAGATATCTAACGATCTATAAGGTGGAGGGGATGACGCGCCTCTCATCACTCGTCATCTCGGAGCTGGACAGATCAGTCAAGGTAAGAATTGTCAGGTACTTCAACACTTCCTCAATACATATAGTATAATTTATCTGGGGTTTAAAAGACTAAGGGGATGTTGGCACGGTTTGTAAACAACGTTTTAACAACAATACTGAAAATAAGTCAAAAGCTCCTGAAAGTATAAACATTGTTCAGAGTATTAAATTAAACCTTTGGAATGACAACTGACAGTAAATAGAGACATTGTGGGAGAGCATACTAAAAATTTCCTAAGGTTTGCAGCACTAGAAAAAACAATGATAAGGTGATAATAAACACTTGGATAACATTAATTTAAGACATGATTACTTTTCTGAGAAGGTTGATAACTTAATGTTAGGATAATATAATCAACAGGAATTTAAACGGCTCTGCTAACAGAACAAGAACGCGGTAATCTCTCGCTATATATATATATATATATATATATATATATATATATATATATATATATATATATATATATATATATATATATATATATATATATATATATATATATATATATATATATATATACTCTTGAAAAACAGTTAGGGGAAGGAAGATCACTAAACTGTTTGACATCGTTGTTGGGTTCAAAATGATAATGTCTTCCTCGGGTTCTGGAGCTCTTGAGACTGGCAATACTTGAAACACAAACACTTATAGATAAAGGTGACAAATAGATGTGGAGAGACTATCTAAAAGAAACATCTCATATTTACGATTTAGAGTTGTATTAATGAGAGGTGTACAACATTACACGAAGCTCCAGGCAATCAATTGATCTTTTTTTTCTCGCTTTTTTTTCTCAACATTGTGTTGAGTTACTAAGTAGAAAATAAGGACTTAATTTCGAAATGTCTGACATAAACTTATGACCGAATCTGTGTCGTACAGGCTTTGATGTTATTTGCGTTTTTCTCTACTCCCACGGGTAACATTCTTTAAGCACTTAAACTTTATACAATACATATTATCTCAAGTCAAAGAAGATACATCTACAATACATCGTCTTCATTTCATAAGATACCTAATTTAAAGTTACAGTCTTGGTGAGTAGTCTCGCTTATTCTGAAAACCTCGTGTTTTATTCTAATATTTTTTTATAACAATAGTTAAATTATATGGCTAGTTTTGCATATAAGGTATAATCAATCAAATTCAAACCGGGAAAATGTGTAACGAGAAGTATAGTTAATGTGTATAGCATGTTTTAATACACTGTGGTGTAGCGAGAAGTATATATAGTTTATTTTAATAGTGTGGCGTAGCGAGTAGTATAACCTATGTATATAGCTTGTTTTAATAAAGTGTGGTCGTGCGAGAAGTATACATACTTTGTTTTAATAGTGTGGTGTAGCGAGAAGTATAAATGTATAGCTTGTTTTAATAAGTGTGGTCTAGCGAGAAGTACAGCCTACGTGTATAGCTTGTTTTAATACAGTATGGTGTAGCGAGAAGTGTACATAGTTTATTTTAATATAGTGTGGCGTAGCGACAGATATAGCCTTTGTGTATAGTTTGTTTTAGCAAAGTGTGGTGGTTCGAGAAGGGTACATAGGTTGTTTTAATAATTTGGTGTAGCGAGAAATATAAACTATGTTGTATAGCTTGTGTTAATACATTGTGGTGAAGCGAGAAGTTTAGCCTGAGCGTATAGCATTTTTTTAATAAAGTGTGGTGTAGCGAGATGTATACATAGTTTGTTTTAATACATTGTGGTGCAGCTAGAAGTATAAACTACGTTGTATAGCTTGTGATAATACATTGTGGTGAAGCGAGAAGTTTAGCCTAAGCGTATAGCTTGTTTTAATGTAGTGTGGTGTAGCGAGATATATAGCCCATGTGTATATTTTGTCTTAATACAGTTTAGCGTAGCGAGAAATATAACCTATGTGTATAGCTTGTTTTAATACAGTGTGGTGTAGTGAGAAGTTTAGCCTGTGTGGTTATTTTATTTTAATACAGTGTGCTGTAGGGAGTAGTATAGCCAATGTGTATAGCTTGTTTTAATAAAGTGTGGTGTAGCGAAAAGTGTACAGTACATTGCTAGTCTTAATACAGTGTGGTGTAGCGAGAAGTATACGTGAATAATTTGTTTTACTACAGTGTGTTGTAGCAAGAAGTATACATAGTTTGTTTTAATAAAGTGTGGTGTAGTGAGCATTATACATAGTTGTCTTTATACAGTGTGGTGTGGCGAGAAGTATACATATATAGTTTGCTTTAATACAGTGTGGTGTAGCGAGAAGTATACGTAAATAGTTTGTCTGAATCCTAGAGTTGTAAAAAGTACTGGACTTTGCTACTTAAGTAAAAGTATTGTTACATTGGCAAAATGTTACTTAAGCAGAGGAAAAATTATCCCAATAGGTAAATTATTCAAGTAGAAGCAAAAAAGTATCTCGTTCATAAAGTACTCAGGTACCGAAAGTAAGAAATAGTAAATTTATTAATTGTCTCAACTATTTAATAAAATCCACAGTATATTATACAAAAATAGTTGTCTAAAGATAAAAGTAAGACACACAGCATTAAACATGTTTATTTGCAATTTTTTTTCTTCAGATCAATCAGTAACTGATTCTCAAAATTATGACTGTTCAATCAGCCGCTCTTCTCCCTACAATCCATCGCAGGGATGGTGAACTGGGTGAAAAATATATTCATCCAACACTATGATCAATATCTTTCTTATCCATACTAGTATCGTCGACGTAGACTTATGGTCCGCAAACATAATATTGTTTCTGCTCTCATTAGGTTAGGATACAGACCTATCTGGCAAGTATCTGAGGCAGGGGATGACCGGCACTTCTCTTCCTGTAAACTCTGTAACTATCCCAACGCTAACACCCTTCAACAGTATTACATTGACTCTCCCACTGTCAGAGATCTCCTACCACAGGAAGAGTCACTGACCACTACATGTCACCACCTACTTATACATAATAATTTAGATATAATTCTCGTACGATACAGGCGCTTTGGTGGGTGCCTTACGGGTAACTCAGAATCAGAGGATTTTCTTAAAACAATCCAGGACTGTTTCCTAAGCCAACATATAACCGAACCACCCGGGATAATAATATACTCGATTTAGTTATGTCAAACAGAGAAAACCTCATTCGTAATGTCGAGGTAGGGAACGAACTATCTAACAGCGATCACAAAGAAATTAGATTCCAGTTAGAATTTCAGGGGAGCAGAAAGGAAAATTCCACTAAAGTCCCAGATTTCAGAAGGGCAAACTTAGATACCAGGTAGTAGGTAGTTGGCAACTATCAAACAGGGAGGTACTACAGCCTGGGAAGATATTGGAAGCATAATGTGTTGTCAAATGGTAGACCCTGCTGCTATATGGCATCACGAAAATTGTGACCAAGTCCCAGGTTGCTGATCTGACTTTCAGCCTCATTTACACACAATTGCAGGGTCTCAATTGTTTCTCACTTTTGATCTTTTTTTTAATTTTTGCGTTTATAGTTCTTTATGATTATTATTATTACTACAGTTGTTATTATTATTATTATCTTTATTATTTTATTTTTTATTATAAATTTTATTTACTATGAATTATTATTATTATTAACATTTTTATTATTATTATTATTTTCGACCCCCCAGGCCCCGATGTGGGTCAGTGACCTGTGCCCGAGTGGGTTAATCCCCGTAAAAAAAAAAAAAAAAAGATAGTTTGAAGAGGCAGCTGAGAGAAGGAGTATCACGCTTGGGGGTGAATTACATAACCTCATATGAGGTGTCCCCACTCAATGTACCCACAGAGTGCGACCTCACCTTACCTGGAAACCTGACGGTTGAGGATGACCTGATAACGAGATCTGAGGTTGACGAGTTCCACAAAAATTTAAATAATGAGTTACTTAATGCATAAAGGCAGAACATACCATACAGAAAACTCAGATCAAACAGCAATGACCCTAAATAGATAAATATTTATTTAAAAAACATTATTGGACAAAGGAAGGCTATATGTAGGAGAATAAATCGTGGTGAAGTTTACCTCCGAGATTATTATAATGTATTGCCCGGTAGAGTTAAGACCGAGATAAGAAAAGCAAAGAGGAATAACGAACTGAAGGTAGCAAGGGAGGCAATGTCAAACCCCGAGGGATTCTATCAAATGTATCAAACTAAAACAAGAGAAAAGATTGGACCAATACAGTCGGATACCGGCGAGCTAACTGACAACGACGGAAAAATGAGCAATAATCTGACTTATTATTTTTCAACAGTTTTCACCACCGAAAATTTAAACATGATACCCGAGACACTGACTCTATACAAAGATAGTGAAGAAAATAAATTAAGCGAAATAGTAGTGACTAGTAACGATGTTAGTAAGCAAAAGGACAAACTAAAGCCTAATAAGTTACCAGGTCCCGTTGGGATATTTGCCAGAGCATTAAAGGAATGTAAGAGCTTAGTATGCCCATAGCAAAGTTGTTTAACATGTCCTTAAAAACGGTTGCAGTACCAGAATCCTGGAGGATAGCAAATGTAATACCGATTTTCAAGAAGGAAGATAGATCACTATTCTCTTACTACCGTCCAATTAGTCTAACATTAATTGTAGCCAAATTACTGGAGGCAATTATTTCAAACTCTATTCGAAATTACCTGGAGAAGCACAAGTTGATCAATGATTCCCAACATGGCTTCACAAGCGGGCGTTCATGTCTAACCAATCTATTAACATTCTTTTCATCTGTTATCGAGTCAGTGGACGAGGGGCACAATTTTGATGTAGTATATCTCGACTTTAGCAAAGCCTTCGACAGAGTCCCCCACGAAAGACTAATAAGAAAAGTGGAGGCTAATGGCATTAAAGGAGATATTCTAAAATAGATTAGGGCGTGGTTACAGGACAGGAAACAGCGAGTGAGCATTAACCGCACTAAATCCCATTGGAGCAATGTCACTATTGGAGTTGCCCATGGCTCAGTACTTGGACCATTATTATTTATTATATACATAAACGACATAGATAT